GGGGCTGTACCCGAGGAATATATAGGTTGCCTACGTACCCCTGTAAAGGGATCAAGCCCAAAATGTAGTGCTCTTACATAAATAACTCCCACTAACCAAAAACATCAAAAATTTCCACAATACCCATATAAGCAACATGTGTCGTAAAAATATTAGGAGCTAGTCTCTTAGTCAAAAAGATTTTCAATCATCGCCTCTGTATCGATATGCTCTGTTTTTGTCTCTAACCGCCAAATATTTAATGTTAATGTGTATCGATCCATTGAAATTTTATTGTTTCTTCAAAAGAACACTACTGCGCTATTATCATAATAAATAATGATTGGCCTTGAGATGGAGTCAACAACTTTCAACCTAGAAATAAAATTCCTTAACCAAATGGCTTGAATTGTAACTCCATAACATGCAACAAATTCAGCCTACATAGTAAAAGATGCCACTAGATTTTGTTCATCATTTTTCCACGAGATGAGTCTGCACACTTTTCCACAAGATAATACCACCAACCAACATTAAAATTTAACTTGAGGTTGATTCCAAATCATTTTGACATCCAGCAAATTCTGAGTGTGAGTAGCCTACCACCTCAAGGTGATTTGAATGCTAGAAAGTGAGTGTTTTCTTTAAGTAACTCATAACTTTCTTAGCCGCTTTCCAATGCTCTTGTCCTGGATTCGACTAAAAACTACTGAACCAAATCACTGCTTGCAAGTAAAATGTCATCAACATATAGGACAAGATAAAATTTCTCTCACTGGTTTTAAGATAAATACATTGACCGACTGTATTTTCAATAAAATCAGGAGAAGTCAAAACCTCGTCAAACTTCAAATACCACTGCCGCGATGCCTACTTGAGGCCATATAAGAATTTATTTAACTTGCATACCAAGTTTTCTTTTCCCATCATAACAAAACCTTTAGCTTGTCTCATGTAAAACTTTTCCGAAAGATCTACAATTAGAAAATCCGTCTTAACATTTCCTTTTGAGTCCAATTTGCTTTTGAAAATCCACTTGTTATCTATGGCTTTAACATCCGGAGAAAATTCAACAAGTTCCCAAAATTTATTCTGTTCCATAGAATTTATTTCATCATCCATTTTATCAATTTATGTAACTCAGGACTTGCCGGTGGTTGATTAAAAGTAACACGGTCAACAATATGCCCTACATTAAAATCATTCAAAGTGGAAACTTTCCTAGTGGATCCAGTAAACTATCTTCTTATACAATCCAAACAAGCATCAAAATTAGAGAAGTCAAGAGAGAGAGGAAGGTATCTCAACTTTAACCAATCTCTCTATCATATCCTTTGAAATTTGACCCAACTCTTATGTCATAACATGGAGGATGACTCACGAATCAGAGACCTTTTCTTTATCATATTCGTAACACAAGAGATTTCACCAAAAGAAAACCAAAGACAATATATATATATATAAATCATCACATAAGAGGCAATTTCCAATTAAATGAGAATCATAAAACAATTCAACCATTGTATTACCAAAATTAAAGGAAAAATTAGAAGTATCAAGTTTCGATATTAAATTCCGTCTCATTGTCGGTACAAAAACAGTATTTTTCTAAAACCCAAAAAGAAAACAGACTCCAAAAATAACTTCACTACTCCTATGAACTCAACCTTCACTTGAACTTCATTCCCAATGCACGGGCTTACTTCATTCTCACTTGGCCTCCATTCGCTCGTGAACCCCTGCAGAACTCTTCTTCTTCTCCAACCAAGTTTTAAACTTAAAACAATCTTTCTGTCAGTAACCCTTCTTCTTGCAGAACTTGCATTGATCATTTTTCTTTATCACTCATTTGGGATCACCAAAGGTTTGACCTCCAAAATTTTTGTATTGCTGATTATGGTGTGACTTGTCGCCCTTGTGGAATTTAGACTTATGGTTATGAAAAGACTCCTTGTACTGTGGTGGTTGAAAAGCTAGTTGCACAGTTTCGACATTTTCACGCCTCAACCTATACTCCTCTTGGGCACATACAGCAATAAGGTCATTCAAATCCCATTTATCTCTTTGAACATTATAAGCAACCTTCAACTGATTAAATTAGTTCGGAAGGCTATTCAAAACATGATAGACCAAAAAAGGCTCAGCAATGGGAATTTTAAGAGCCTTTAATTTAGAAGATATATTAATCATCTTCATAACGTGCTCCATAACTCCACTTATACCATCATATCTCATATTCATTAGTTTGTCTATCAGATCTCCAGTTTCAACTTTATTAGACTCAACAAATCTCAATCCTATGGCATCCACAAAACCTTTAGCGTTTTCATTATCCGGAATAACACCCATAATGGAATCGGATATTGAGTGCTTAATAATTTTCAAACAAAGTTTATTAGCCATTTTTCAATTTTCATACTCAGCTACATATTCAGGATCGCTTTTATCTGTGGGGGTTTCGAAAGCTGCTTCTCCATTGCAAAATCCAACCCCAAAAGACCAAGTGCTATTTCTACCTCTTGTTTCCATTTCACATAATTATTCACAGTCAAGGTTTCAATAACAGACAATTGACTCAAAAGAGTTGAGACATTTAAAACCGTGGAAACATAAAATAACATATTTTATTATCATCCAAATATAATGTATGCAGACAATGGATGATAACATATCTATCTAATTAGATAGTCCGTAATTGAAGTAAAAACTAAATGAACATTATTACGGTAAGAGCGTAGATGCATCATTATAAAGTCACCTTTGGGCTGACAATATAACACGCTGTAAAGTACTTTTAAAACACATAACGAAGTTAGTTAACAAAATAGATTGGTTTTCGAAACACAAATACCTTTGGGCAGAAGGAGATTTTTAGACCAAGTAAAAATGTTAACTATTTTATGCTAATTTCCAAAAATATTACATATGATAACGCTTATGGGCAAGATAATATATGTAATAATTCAAAATTACGATGCCAATTTTTTTTTTTGAGAAAATCCAATAAATAACAATGAGTATGCCACTTTGGCAGCTACAACCCATCTTTATTTCAAAATATTTTCCATGAAAAATTCGATCACAAAATAATAATTATGCAATAAATCATAATTATTAACTGACGAAAATGCGAAATTCATGCGCGATATGAGACGAAATTGGCAACTTAAATTTCAACATATAAAAATGAAATTTAAATGGACAAAAATAATGACATTTAATTATTTCAACGAAAATTTAAAAGTCGTTAATTTTAAATATAATTTTAATTTTAAGTCAAAATTAAAACATAGTGGATCAAATTTAAAAATCTCATTTTTAAAACTTCAAATTTAATATTTCAAAATTGCAAAAATGAACCTAAAATTAAAATTATGGGAAGGGCCTCAAAATTTTAGGAATTACAACAAAAGTCCTTTCTCATTAAATTACAAAATAACCCTAAGTTAAAATTGCAGAAGAAATCCCCAAGATTCACAAATTGCGTTGAAAACTCCGTTCCCAAATCAACAGAAAACTCTTGGCAAAACCCTAGGCTAATCCTTTCTTCTCTCTTGCCGCCTCTGCCCTAATCCATATCCTATAGCCCACGGTCACCGGCAGCCAACGGCTGCATCACGGTGACCAGCAGCCGTGGCTGCGTTAAGCTGCATCGCAGCAGCGTGTGCAGTGGCAGTCGACGCTGCGGCTTGGTTGCAAGCTGCAGCGCTTGGTACTGCTCCAACGAGCAGCGGGACAACAAAAGCTGTGTTCCTGCTCACGGGTTCCCAAAAGCCAGCATTCAAATAATGGATATGGTAGAACATATATACATACACACATACGGAAAAGCAGCGAAAACCATATATACACACATACAAACTAAAGCAAAACCCAGATACTATTAAATGCAACTTCAATACGTATACACAGACGGTGGAGGTATTGAATCAATTGATTTTGTTCTACTACATATATGGTGGAGGCACTACAATTTTGGGGGAAGGGAAGGAGAGGCTGTGGCCTGGAGTCATGCATATACACATACGGACAGCTTGAAGAAGATTATATATACATACAAACATATATGACACGGTTGATTTTGGTGGCACATGCATACATGCACGAGACAGAATAATAGACGGACAGTAACCTGGGTTTATTGTTGATTTTGGTGATAATTATAAACACATATGCACGTGAAGCTGCAGTTTCGTTTTTATGTGGAAAATTAATATGTTGTTTAAAGGATTCTAATCTTAGCATGTAGCTCTGATATCAATTGTAGATAATTTCATATTAATCATGCTAAGAATAAGAATCACATAAATTAATTGATAGTTCGAAATTCATACCTGCGGAAAACATGATTATGTATGAATATTACCAATTAGATTTTCCTCTCCTTGCTCCTCAAAATAATCGACCGTTAATGGGCCAAGCCAAAACGATATGGAGAGGAGAGGAGACCTAGCCATTATATAGAAAATCATAAAGTCGGCCCATTATCGACTCTAACCCTAACTAGGGTTCACATAATTTCAGCCCACATACTTAAAATTACCACATTATAATAATATAGTTCGTAAGGTGTACAACGGCCCAAGTGATCACTAACATATTGAGCTTAATCACAATATTATTGAAAATTGCAATCAAATGGAAACCCACATAATAGAATAATTCCAACAATAATGAGTATGACTCTCCAACTGTATATACTATGCGACACATTAGAAATGATCTCTTATTCATGGTGTGTAGAAGTAATCTTGCCCATCGTTAACATGACATCTACAAATTTTGACAATTCAACATTGAATTGTAAAAAATTGTAGGTTTGACCATCGACGTAATCAGCGGTGGGCATATTTTATCCTAACCATCATGGATAGATCATTTCTATGTGACCCATACATAGCTAATTATCTTTTTCTTTATACTCGGTGTGTCTTCTCATCGTGTGAGAAATGTTGTTGGCTTGTGATCACTCACTTTCCTCTCTGGAGCAGTGTATGTCCAAACTCGACCATGGAGATATTATACAATTATTATCAACATATATTCAACTTATGCCATGCCTAATTTTACACCTAAAGTTACATATATTATATAGTACTATTTGTTTCGACAAATCAGTCTCTCACCAAGCTGAAAATATGATTGCTCATAGCCTGTCTTCATAATCACAAAGAGGTGTTATATGATCCTTCAAACCCTTTCTTACGGATATCAGATGACATCATGTCCCAATGATCGAACACGGATTGAGGAAAGACCTGTCCTGAGGTAGCATCTCTTAAGTTACCTAAGAAACCGGAGGACTTGATGACTAGAAGGTAAGCCTTATGTTGTATAGTTGAGTACCCGGCCTCTACATTTCTTCAAACACATACCCACATTTCTGGTTCAGAACGTTATATATACTGCAAAGAGCCTACTTGGGTGCTTGTATCTCGACCAGGTATACAGGTTCCAAGAGCCGAGGTTTAGCAATAAGCTGGGAAGCATAAATAACCCTCTTAACAATTGGAATTATCTGGCCTCCTCCTCTGTGAATAACATCAGCATGAAGAACCACATCACAAACTTCAAAGCAAATCTCTCTCATGTTTTCCTCGGCCAGAGAACCTTCCTTAGAAGCGTATTGAAATCCAACAACAACAGAATCTTTAATATCATTCAAGTACTGAACCCCCTTGCACATGTCAACAATCATCTTACGGCCTATAGTCTCAGGACCAAAGTATTTTATCACTTATCCGAGATCTAAAATAGCGATATTTGATAGTTCTTCTGACAAAATATATTCTAAATTATTGTATTTTATATTATATAGATAAAACTCAATGGTTGAATGAGGAATCGAAAGAAGGAAGCGAAAACTGGTGAAAACTGACAAAATTCAAAGTTTGAGCACCAAATTGCAAATTCAATAGTTGATTCGGACCACAAGATGATATTTTGAAGATTGCTAGGAGACAATTGGATGATACTAGAACTCAAAAAAGAACGGAATATCATCAAAATCAATTTCCAATCGTACAAATTATATTCCAAATTTTTAGTCAAAGATTGAAACCAATTTTTGACATAGTAAATGTCCGAATTGGATCAAAGTTTTACCCTTTAAATTATATTTCCAAGACGCTTTGAATCACTTCAATCAGATATCAAGAGAGAAAGTTATGGCCAAAATGCTAACTATTATGCAGAGACAAAAAATTCGCGCGAATAGAACATTTCTTATTCAATTGGAACTCTTTTGAAAACCAATTTGAACGTAATTTTCAACCAATTTTCTACTCCTACAAATTCCCAGCAGCATAATACATATTGGGGAACTCTCATATACATATTATACTCCAATATTTATCAATTATTATTATCAAAGGAGGAAAATTCATAATTTTTGTGAGAGAATTGAAGAGAATTTGTAAGAATTCAATCAAGTGGAGATTTAAACCTAATTTTTGGGCAAAGAAGAGAAGGCGCAAGTGGAGATTCATTAAGAAACCATTGAAGAGATTCAAGATTTTAAGATTCATCTTCATCTTCTTAATTAATTAAAAATCTGGGTGATATCTTTTCACTTAAATATAATTTCTTGTAATTTTGATATGTTAGGCTAGTTTTATACATTGATAGAATGAGATGAACCCTTGTTATGATATTTTTAATTTTTAATTAATTATTTTAACTTTAATTTGATTTGATTTATGGATGTTTACTATTGTTTTTATCGTTCTTTTCAATTGATTGATCACAAATTGAATTGTTAGTGAATTTTATTGTTATCGAGAGAGACAATAGGGTTTAAGCACATTATAATAAACATTGTAAGATTCGATAGATGGTAGAGATATACCTATATACTTTATATGGTTTCNGAATAACAATGGGGATTCGATATCTTAGCAATGCATCTCACACAGATGAAAAACACATTTACTTACTTTCATTAGTTTAATTGATAATTTAGGTATTAGCATAGAAAAAAATCACAAAATTTGTATGCTATTCGATTAAAGTTACACTTAATTTTAACTCGATCAAACACATAGTTCTCGTATGTTCGGCACTCTATTCATCACAAAGCACCATATTTTCTTTGCAAGTTCCTTGTCCCAACCAAAACTCCTCGGATAAAACTTGGAACGAATCTTTGGATCATCCCTTTGACCAATACTTCCATCATCAATGGCCTCGGCAAGACCCTCTTCCATGGGTCTAGCTTCCACGTAAAGTCGATTGTGCTTGTTAGGATATTTACTCATAACAGTGAGACAACACCTCTCTGGAACAGTCTCACAGAAGGACACAACCAGATCAGATTTTACAATTTCAGCACCACCCATGAATTTTTCCTGCAAATCCTTCCAACATATCTCAAGGTGGAGTCCTCTAGCACCAGCAATGATATGTTCCCCAGACTCCTCAATTGTACAGACAACCATAGGATCAGATTTGGCCAAACATTTCAAACCCTCAACGAGCTTGGGCAGGTTCGAAGCAACCTTACACTGGACAGCGACGCGCACAACAAGTGAGATCGAGAATTTCATTGCTCTAATTGGATGAGCATCAACTTCCTTTTCATTGGTAAGAGTTGCATTTGTAGTAATATACTGATCAAGACCAACCATAGCAACTGTATTTCCACAAGGCACGTCGTCCACTGTCTCTTGTTTCTTGCCCATCCAAATAGCAGTCATTTGTACACTCTTAATGTACGAGTCCTTTTTCTCTCCAATGACATAGTTGGATCCCATGATTTTGACCTTCAAACCTGTAGAGACCTTGATGGAGAATACACGATCGAAAGCAAAGAATCGACCATCATCAAAAGCAGGAGTCATCTTAGACACATAAAGCATGAGAGCCCTTCAGGATCACATTTTCTTATACCATTAGCATATGGATCATCCATTGGACCTTCATACAAATTCTCTACGCGATATTTTTGGGCCTTGGCTGGAGACGGAAGATGGAATATCATCATTTCCAAGAGAGCATCGCTTACAGGAAGCCATGTTTGGATAACACGTTTCATCAGCGCCTTTCCTATCAAATCTTTCTCTTCAGACTTCATGGTGATACCAAGCTTCTGTAACATAGGCCAGAGCTTGTCTTTTTGATCATTCATACAAATGTTGATATCTGCTTGATAGGTTCACAACAGAGCTGCACGAATCCACGCTTGCATGTTGGAGAACCAGTGTTTTTGGTAGTCCATTTCTTTGTAGCAGGGTCGAAAAAATTCTTACCCCAAAGTCTTTCCATCATCTTAGACTCGCCAACAGGACCAACACCAAACTTGGAGGCATAAATCCTGGCAAAGTTACAAAGAGTAAAAGCTCATCCATGCAACCCGGCAGAAAAGGCAACTGTAATTTTCTCAGGGTAAACTTGGACATCACCAAGCAGGGGATCTTCATATGTGGCTATGATGACATTTGCGTTCTCGATAACCTTTTGGAATGTCTGATAAGCCCCATCTCCATCAACCTGGAGCTCGAGAAAACACCTGTCCAACTTGTTCACTGTCAAGACTGTTCAAATCCTTTATCCAAGGGCTTGTTGAAGGATAGTTTCTGTTTGAACACAAACTCCTTCAACGCAATCAACCACAACTAGTGCACCATTAGTAATACGAAGAGCAGCTGTCACTTCAGATGAGAAGTCAACGTGCCCAGGAGAATCAATAATATTGTGAGGTATTCATTCCCTTGGCGTTTTCCCTTAAATTCAAAGATTCATCTGCCATTTCGTAGTAGAGTGAGATACCAGTAGACTTAATAGTGACAGCACGCTCAGCCTCATCCTGTCTTGTATGTCATTCGGACATCTCCAGCAATTTCCTGTGCAATAATACCAACAGCAGCCACGATAGAATCAGTAAGGGTCGACTTCCCTGCTAAAGACAAACCAAAGGTTATGTTAGGACATTGACCAACTCTAATGATGTGATTAAGAAAGGAAGAAAAAACCACATTGCACGCTCGGTCAATAACTCAACAATTAAATCTCTCTTTTTCTCCTTTGTTTGTGGAAAGTTATACTCTTACTGATATACTAATAAGTAAAACTGAACCCAAATTGATAACGATACATTATTTCGCTCTATCCGCATAATAATAAGCATAGCTCTTGCAATAATTGATTGGACTTGAGCAATTGTTATGAACTAGCTTCCTTACCATGAGCAACATGTGCAATAATCGACATATTACGTATATTATGCTTCAAGTTCAAAATTCTACGGGGCTCATCGGCTGTGAATTTCACCTACAAATGTTATCTCACCATTAGAAAAAAGTCACCAGCAACCAAAATATTATATTTCAAAAAATAATTGTATACCAACCATTTTGACAGGCCTTCAAAGGCAAAGCTCGCAACGGTTGAGGGAAGGTATTTTTCCAAGAACACCTGGGCGCAAGGCAAAGCTGTTGGAAATGGTTTAGTGAAATGGNGTTTAGTGAAATGTGTAAAATTTAAGTCTCATATTGAGTGGATCCCGTACGTCGATTATAACGGGACCAAGCATATACACGTTCTATTCCGCGTGGTGATCAACGTGATATATTTATTTATTGAAAACCATTTAAAATTGAATGAAATATTTAATGTCAAAGTAACCCACTTGGAACTATAAACTAGTGAAGAATTTTCAATTTCACAATTTTCTCTCTCTAAAAAACCCATTCCCTCGTCTTCGAAAATATTAGGGCTTGGTGGGGGCTGTCATGACGGCGCTCACCCAGCCGGAAGTGGGGCTTCTAGGAGGGGGGCAGTCGGGATCTGCTGTGGCTCAATTGGAAAATGGAGGTCGGGCATATGGAAGTCATTCGTTTCTGGAGGTGGCGACTGCGCGAGTTGGAGACGTGGCTGGTCCGAAACAGGTTGTAGCGATGAAAAATTTGGTGGATATTGATGGTGACATGGGTTTCAGATTTTCAGAGATGGAGGAGAAAAAATTGGCAGAGGAGTTTCGCTTTGGGCTGGTTCTAAAATTCTTGACAGTTAGTCCAAACATTAACACGATTAGGCTGACCACAAACAAGACTTGGGGACTGAGAGAGGTGCCGGTGGTGAGTTTTATGGATTCGAAGCATGTGTTGGTTCAATTACGGAATGAGATAGACTATATTCATACATGGGCAAGGGAAGGGCGAACCATGGTTGGAGGGAATTTTCGCGTGTTTAAATGGACACCAGACTTTGATATGAGCAGTGAATCGCCTTTGGCTCCTCAGTGGATTTTTCTTCCTAAGCTTCCTCTGCATCTATACCGTGTGGATTGTTTGAAAATTCTGGCATCACGATTTGGGCGATATTTGGGAACGGATCAAGCCACACTAACTCGAACAAGAGCCACAGGGGCAAGGATATGTGTGGAAGTTGATTTGAGGGATACACCGATTTTGGGTTTTCCGATTGCTTTTCCAAATAGAAACATTTTGCAAGAGGTGCAATATGAGAAGCCGGGTTTCTATTGTTCAAAATGTGGACGGCAGGGACATCTTGAACTGGTTTGTAGAAGTGGATTGAAACCTATTATGAGAAACACACAAAAGGCTAAAAAGGGGAAAAATCAGAAGGAATGGCGAATAATAAATGACTGCATGATGGGTGACAAGGATACAAGGGTGGAAAATGTGGAATTGAGTGAAAAACCAATTTTGGATAATCAGGAAAAACTTGAGGAAAATCAGGGACCTTCAGAAGTGGTTGAACTGGTTCAGGAAAAGGGAGGGGCTATGGAAACAACAGGAAATGCTTGTGTAGATAATGATAAGGCAAAGAGTGGGACAGAGACAGCAAAAGGAGGAGAGTCTAAAGAGGACAACGATATGCCAAAAAGCATGGTGGGGAATGGAGGAGAAGAAGACCGAGACAAAGAAGATTTCCAAAATGATTTTAGGTTGGAAAAAGGAAATGTCGAAATGGATGAGACATTAAATATTAATGTGGGGAATAACACTGTGGTCTCAGATGGGGAGGATGAAGGGGAGGATGGATACAATTGTGTGGCAAGGGCGGAATACAAGTCAGATCAGAGTTGAGTGGTTCAGTAGCTATCTATAGTGATCAACCTCGGAAGGTGAGGCATTCACAAAGGGCACGAGCACGTCCTAACAAATTGGATTTATGATCGATACGCCAGTGGTGTGGAACGTGCGAGGTATGGGTACGTCCAAATGTAGGTTGAGAAAACTGGTTAGGAAACATAACATTGCTATACTTGCTGTGGCAGAACCTTTTCACAGTGAGAGACATGTACAGTCCTTTGCAAAGAAAATAAAGCTGGCAGGATGTATCACCAACGAGAAGGAAGGGGGCAAAATATGGGTTTTTTGGAGGGAGGATTTGCAAATGGAGTGGATTGGGGCATCTTCTCAAACTATACATGGTATAGTAACAAAAGGGGTACATAGTGTGGTTCTTACTTTTGTGTATGCTAAGTGTAGTGCTTTAAAAAAGAGGAGTCTCTGGACGGAACTGGAAGGTTTATGTGTTGTTGGTTTGCCATGGTTAGTGTCGGGGGATTTTAACACTATTTGGAATGACGCAGAACGAATGAGAGGTAGGCCAAGACCCTTGGGGGCGATGGAAGATTTTAATAATTACATTGATAAATGTGGGTTGGTGGAGGTGCCTTGTAAGGGTCGAAAGTTATCTTGGCGCAATGGACAGGAAGGTTTGGCGCGGAGCGGGCACGTTTAGATCGTGTATTGACTAATATTGAGGCTATGCGAATTTTTCCAGATATTCAACTTAGATATTTGCCAAAAAATACTTCAGATCATTGTACGATGCTAGTATAGTTTTACAAGCCTATGGAGAACTATGGTCTTCCACCTTTTCGATTCCAACGAATGTGGACGGAACATGAACTTTTCATCCCATGTGTGGAGAGAGCCTAGAATGCAAATGGAATTAGTAAGGGGTTAATGGGTCTGTACAAGCTTGCTGCTAAACTGAAAGCCACAAAAACGGCTCTGAAGTTTTGGAACAAGCAAGTATTTGGTAGGGTGGAGAACGCTATATCGGAGTTGGAGGAGAAAGTTGAGACACTTGAGGCTGAATTGCAAATGAACACTTCAGAGTCTTTGGAAAATGAATTCCTAGAAACCAAAATGGAGCTCTTACAGTGGCAAAAAAGAGAAGAAATATGCCTGTCACAACAGGCTAAGAAAAAATGTCTTAATGAGGATGACAATAATACAAAGTTCTTTCATGCAAGTATTGCACAGAAAAGGAGGAGCTCGAAGATAGAGAATATGCTCTTGTCAAACGGGACAGTATTATCGTCTCCCAAAGAGGTACATGATGCAGCGGTACATTATTTTCAGAACTTCCTAACAGAGTCACATACAGAGCCTCTACCCAACCTTTCAGAGTATATTGGGGAGTGTATTTCTTCTGATGAAGGGGATCAATTATGTAAGGCACCTACAGAAGACGAGGTTAAGGAAGCTATTTTTTCTATTCCGATGGACAGCTCCCCAGGCCCGGATGGGTTTAGCTCTGGCTTTTATATTCAGTGTTGGGATATAATCAAGGAGGATGTGGTAGAAGCAGCGTGCGATTTCTTGGGGCGTAGCCCCCTACCAAGATTTTATTCTTCGTCATACATAGTGCTTATTCCAAAGGTGGAGAATCCACAAGGATTTGATAAGTTTCGACCAATTAGTCTTTGTTCGGTTGCGTATAAGATTTTTTCAAAAATTCTTGTGAAGAGGATGGCTAGCTTGCTTCCAAAAATTATATCTCTTGAACAAGGAGCTTTTCTCCAAGGAAGAAGCATTGTTGAAAACATCACTTTAACACAAGAGATGGTGCATTCATTGAATCGTAAGGTTCGTGGAGGAAATGTGGTGGTCAAAGTGGATATGGCGAAGGCGTATGACAGAGTGGATTGGAGGTTTTTATTGCATGTATTACGTTCTTTTGGTTTTCCTCATACTTTCTGCTCTTTGATTTCAGAATGTATTTCTATGCCTTGGTTCTCTATTATGATGAATGGAACCACACAAGGTTTTTTTAAACCCGCTCGAGGTCTAAGGCAAGGTGATCCTATATCCCCATATTTATTTGTTATCATGGAAGAGGTGTTGACTAGGCTTATGAGAAAGAAATTTGAAGATGGGTGCATTGGTGCTTTTTCACATCCCCGTAATACACCTTTGGTGTCGCATCTCCTATATGCTGATGACATTATTATTTTTGCAAATGGAAGTAAAAGATCAATGAAAACTTTAATGGAGACTCTTCAGGTATATGAAAAATGGACATGTCAGATCATTAATAAGGAGAAGTCAGCTATCTTCTTTGGCAAACATGGTGGGGGCATCTCACAAGAACGAGATTCTTCGATTAAGTTCCTTTAGAGAGGGTTCTTTTCCAGTTATTTATTTGGGGGTACCAGTGATTGTAGGAAGACTGACTGCTCGGCATCTCCAATTCATAATGGAGAAAATTCAAAAAAAGATTGCAGGTTGGAAAATGCAACTTTTATCACAAGGGGGTCGTCTTGTTCTATTAAGACATGTTCTCACCACTATGGCAACGCATCTACTATCTATCCTAAGTGTTCCTAAATCGGTTTTTAGGACTTTAAACTCCAAATTATCATCACTTTTTTGGGGTGAGTTTAATGGTAAGACTAGGAAAAAATGGGTCTCATGGGAGAATATTTGTAATCCATTGATGGAAGGAGGTCTTGGGGTTCGTAGGTTTGAAGAAATTCAAAAGTCTCTCCACATGAAGTTTTCTTAGAGAATGCTTTCTGCTGATTCGTTGTGGACTCGTTTTTTAAGAGCAAAATATACAGCTAAGGGTTTAGTGGATGTTGGAAGTTTGGGTCGTGTAGGCTCAAGGTTTTGGAAAGCTGTGGTAGATTGTTTCCCTGATGTGGTTGCTAATAGCCAATGGAAGATAAAAGAAGGAAAAATATCATTTTGGTATGATAACTGGTTAGAGGAGGGGCCCACTTTGCCAAAGAGTGGAACATATTGTCCAACCTAGCTTGAAGGTGTATGAAATATGCTTGGATACTGGTTGGCATGTTGAGAAGTTGGGTCAGTTAGTGGGGGCTAATATGGCTGCAAATATCATGGAAAAAGTTGGAGGTCGAAAATCTGGAAGGGATAATCTAATATGGAGACCAAATGTACAAGGAAAATTCTCAACCTAGAGTGCTTGGGAGGTGATTAGAGTAAGGGCCCCCATGGTGGAGTGGGCAAAATGGGTGTGGCATAACGCTCTTCCTAAGAGGAGTTCAGTTGTGATATGGAAAGCTTTGTCGGGAAGTCTCAGCTTTGATGATAGGATACGTCAAGTTGGAGTGGCTATGGCGTCCCGGTGCAATTGTTGCACTACTGGCCATGAGGAGGACTCAAACCATGTTTTAAGTACTGGAGACTTTGCAGATGAGGTGTGGAGGAGACTTTCATTGGCACTTGGTGTTAGCTGGCGTACAAGGCAGTCCTGGTGGGATAGGATAAAAATTTGGTGGGCAAGAGCTAAGAGATCCTCTCAACTAGGATGCTTACAAGGATTTATCCCATGTTTAGTAACTTGGAGGCTTTGGATTCGAAGATATAAAGCAAGAATGGAGGGATTGTATGAATCAGTTGAAGATGTTGTTCTGTCCATTAGATTTTGGTTGCGGCACTTAACAACTAATGTTAAAAAGACCAGAGTATTAACACGGGAAGAGGAAACGTTTCTAATAGATATGGGCATTCCTTGTGTGGTCAGGAAATTATCACCAATACATTTGGTAACTTGGAAGAAACCGATGGTTGGAAGAGCAAAGCTTAATGTAGATGGAAGTAGTTTGGGAAACTCAGGTCAGGCAGGTGGAGGTGGAGTGATTCGTAATGATAAAGGGATGGTACTGGCAGCGTTTGCCACTAATTTTGGGATAGCATCGAATAATGAAGCTGAGCTGAGAGCTCTGCTTGAGGGTCTTAAACTTTGCCAACATATAGGAGTTTTCCATGTTGATGTTGAATGTGATTCCAAGATTGTTGTAGAATGGATGTTGAAACGCAAGTGCACTGTTTGGTATTTGTGGGATTTTTGGGAGGAGTTATTGAATTTGATGAATTTATTTGAGATTCAGGTATCACACCAATTTCGGGAAGAGAATCAAGTGGCGAATTTACTAGCAAAAATGGATGCACATGGAGTAACGCAACGTTCTACGCCTGGTACTGAATTGCCTATGTATGCTCGAGGCCTTACACGGTTGGATCGCATTGGAGTTCCCTATATACGTAAGTGAGTTAATTTGTCTCGTTCTTCTAAGGTTGTAAGACTGTTTGTCCCACGGTTTTCCTCCGTCACAAGTGAGGGTTACTTTCAATAAAACTACTTTCATGTTAAAAAAAATAAAAAATAAAAAAACTAGTGAAGAATTTGATTTATTGAAAATTCTCATACACTTATCCCACATTGGAAAGTTAGAAAACTTTGGTGTGGTTTATATAGTGTAAGGTTGGGAATTGGGCCACGAGGGATACCAATAGTCTTTGAAAGGGGGGAGACCTATATCCTATTGGATTCAGTCCAAACCCCACACGCGCGCGCCACCGCCGTCCGGCCGGCCGGTTCGGGCGTGTTCGGGTGCGTCCTTGTTCGAATGGTCACGAACGATTCTATAAATTGATTGTCCCGCTGCCAAAATAATTACACAATTTTCACTGCAAATATTATCTGCATTGAATTTCATTCTCCCTCTCTCGTTCTGATATTATTGTTCGAAGTAAATACACTTCATTGAGTTCGTTGGAACTCATGCAGATTGCTGTGCTACTTCCGTAGGAGACGAAATTCATTTTATCATGGGAAACGATTGTTGGACGCCTTTAGCACCTTTGAA